AAAGGGCGGGATGCAAATAAATTTTATTATTATTATTATTATTATTATTATTATTATTATTATTATTATAAATAAATAAATAAAAATCCCTTAATCCACTTCTGGTCCTAAGCATTTTAGATAAGAGAAGCCCAACTGTGTTCTTTTTTCTTTCTTCTTTTGCAGACTCCCTTTGGCTTCCCTTAAGAGTCCAGATTCTGCACCAGAACACAGTCCTGAGGGATATCATGGCCAATGTCACTGTGCAGGCAAGTCACAATCTGTTTCTTCTTCGTTGTCTTATGTCAGGGGTCTTGTTCTTCTTGTTAAACTGAGATCTCTCCCTCTCCTTGCTCCTCTTCAAGTGTCTCAAGTGTTCTTTGCCTCCCCACCCAGGACCCTGACTTTGCAGAAGTGCTGACAGGACTGTCAAGCCAAGAGATGCTGTGGCTGGCGCAAGGGAAACTGAGGATAAGGGCAGAGGTGGAGGGCAGATTTGGGCGCCAGATTGCAGGACTCATCACTACCAAGAGAAGCTGTGACAGTGAGTAGAGTTAAGATGAGGGAAAGACATGCACACTGAGACTGACGTGGCATCTGCACTGCAGAAATAATGCACTTTGACACCGCTTTAACTGACATAGCTCCATGCTGTGGAATCCTGGGATTTGTAGTTTGTTGTGGCACCAGAGCTCTCTGACAAGGAAGGCTAAATGTCTCACAAAAATATATTTCCTAGAATTTCATAGCATTGAGCCATGGCAGTTAAGGCAGTACCAAACCGGATTATTCCTGCAGTGTGGATGGATTGTCTGTCTCTCATAGTACTAGAAACCTGGGCCACCTAAGGTGTCAACAAAAGAAGAGTTCTTCTCCATTCAACAAACTATTTTCTTATGGAACTCACTGCCACAAGATGTGTGTTGGTTATTGACTTTGATGGTATCAAAAGGGGGTTAGAGCAGTTCATAGATGATCGGTCTGCCAATGGCTATTTGACATGGTACCAAAATGTTCAGAAGAAGTCTACTTCGGAGTAGAAGGTGCTGGCAATCAAACGCAGGGAATGTTTTGTGAGTGCAAGCATCCTGAGGATCTGTAGGAGAAACATTCCTGCATGTATGTTGCTTGACTAGATGGATCTTGGCCCAGACCTATAAAGCGATTGTCATATCATTATGAATGCTTTACCTAGTGAACTTCTGCCCATACTGCGGCACTCCATTTGAGGTAGGGTGAGGTGGGGAAAGTGTAAGCCCATGGGCCCCTTTTGTGGCCCTTGAAACACCCTATCAGTTTTCCAAAGCAAACCCCTTGTCTATTTTTTTAAACATGTAGGCTGTTTTTCTGTTTTTCACCTCAAACAATCCCAAAAGAGGAACATCAATCCAAAAAGATGAATTTTAGATGTAGATTGTTTAAATATGTGTACATCTTATTTGTCCTTTTAAATTGATGTGTGCTTTAACTGATGTTCTTTGCTTGTTAATTATTGTTGTCCCTCACCTCGATGCATGGGGAGAGGCTGGTAAGAAATCATCATCATCATCATCATCATCATCATCATCATCATCATCCCATATGGGAGAAAAGCAGGAAATTAAATGAATAAATCTGCCTGTGTAGTCTCCCCCCCGCCAAAAAAAGCCACCAGCTACCCAAAAGAACCAGTTTTACGCCCAAATCTATCCCCAAATGGTGACTGGAATTGTGCAGTCTATGGGGAAAGGGTCCCAAGTGGGCAAATTGTCCCCCAGCACAATTGTCCGCCACTGATCAAGGTTGAATATGCAGTTTTCTAAGTAATTGATGATTCCTATGTCTGGATTTGGTTTATGAATGGTTCTAGCAAATGTATCAGTGTGATCCTATCCCCTCTCCTTTCTTGCTTCCAGCCATACAGAGTGTGCTATGTGGAGGAGATGCCCTGATACCCACCCGAACAGGGGCTGTGGGTTCTGCCAAGTTCAACCTGCATGCAAATGGGACTTTGGAGTATCAGGTAGGAGAGAGCTTCCCAGGGTGTGTGAGATAGAACTTTTCAACTACAACTCACAGAATCCCCCAGAAAAGAGAGGAGAGGGTTTTAAGCTTCTTCAGAGGAAAGGGGTTAGAAGGAGAGTTACTTTCCATCTCAAATAAAAGTCCAAACCTTAGAATTTGGAGTGTCTCAAATTTGAAGCATGCATTACAAGCATTTTGAGACTCACAGATCCTGCTGCACATCTCTGTGATATTTTTAAAAAATACTGCCAACTTTCCTGATTTGATAGGGGTTGAACGAATCCACACTAAGCAGTTTGAGACACCACTTCAACTGCCCTGACTATCCTACAGAATCCTGGGATTTGTCATTTGGTGAGGCACCAGAGCTCTCTGACAGCGAAGGCTAAATATCCCACAAAACTACCAATCCCAGACTTCCATAGCAT